ACAGGGTTTCTTCATGTTGGTCAGGCTGGACTCGAACTCCTGACCTCAGGTGATCTGCCTGCCTCGGCCTCTCCAAGTGCTGGGATTATAGGTGTGAGCCACTGCGCCCAGCCCTGCATACAATTTTCTAAAGCTTTGTAAAAAATATTAGTTGGTATAACATTTATAGCGTCAAAATTCAAAAAGACAAAGCAGCCTTTTTCTTGTGTATTAAAAAGACAATATGCCAGATTGGGAAAAATTAAAACAATATTAACTCCTGATCCCGCCCTGAAATGCACCTGAAATTTTCATTTATAAATTAGATTTTATTTTATTTTATTAAAGAAGCAGGGGTTTCAGTACGTTATCCAGGCTGGTCTTGAACTCTGGACTTAAGCAATCATCCTGTCTCAGCCTCCTGAGTAGCTGGGATCATAGGCACATGTTACTGTACCCTGCTTCAGTTTTCACTTTTTGAATATTATTTTTCACTTCCCTATTAATTTTCATAAAGTGTGCACTAGTAGTATATATACTAGTCTCTCTCTCTCTCTGTCTTTTTTTTTTTTTTTTTAAACTCCAAACCTTTGTTTTCCTACCAAATACTTCTGGTCCCTACCAGAGTAGGCAAGCTGTTGATAAAGAGGCACATGAAGATGTTGATTGGGACAGTGCATTGGATTAGCAAAGGCTGCATTTTCCACTTTCAAAACAGAATGCTTAGCGCTGAATATATGAGTTACAGAAACAAAACAAAAAGTGCTTTGCAATTAGGAACAAGATGGCAGAGCACCTAATACTTAATCAGGAACATGTTGTTTAAAAGAGGTTTCCTATACAGTCATTCATATAATACCTTGATTTTTCTAATAATGTTAGTGTTTCTTTCATTAAAATAATTATATAATTACAGTCTTCTGAAGTGTTAGGGTTTATATCTTCAGTGTCTTCACCTCTTTCCCTAAGTTCTTAGTGGGGTATGTTGAGCCTGTACTATACATACTTTACTGTTTAAAATTTTTTTTAAGTAACTTTCCCACATATTCTTACTTTTTCAGATGTTCTCTTTGCAGAAATATAGCCCCCAGATCCAGTGTCTTCTTGGTTACTGCTTTGGCTTTCTCATTAGTGACTTAGGGAACAGCAGATCTAATTTGGAAACTTATCCCAAATTTGGTTACATTTCATTCTCATCTTAACTGTCTCACCTTCATTGCTGGAATTTCAGTAGTATTGAGTGTTTGGGGCTTGAAAACAACTACTCTGTTAAGTGCTTAATAGAACCCACAGTATTGATCTGCTTTTTTTTCTTTTTTCCTTTTTTCTTTTTTTTTTTTTTGAGGCAGAGTCTCGCTCTGTCGCCCAGGCTAGAGTGCAGTGGTGCAATCTGGGCTCACTGCAACCTCCTCTGCCTACCGGGTTCAAGTGATTCTTCTGCCTCAGCCTCCCAAGTAGCTGGGATTACAAGCACCCACCACCACACCCGGCTAATTTTTGTATTTTTAGTAGAGATGGGATTTCACCATGTTGGCCAGGCTGGTCTCAAACTCCTAATCTTAGGTGACCAGCCTGCCTAGGCCTCCCAAAGTGCTGGCATTACTGGTGTGAGCCACTGCGCCCGGCCTGATAATGCCTTTTGTCTTCAGCTGTACATTAAAAAGTACATTTTTTCATCAGTTTTCAGAAATTACATAATAAATGTTTGTTGATAAATTAGAGAATACGAGTTAAGTGGTAGGGCTGTACAATCTGTCCATAGTTCCTTGAGATAGTCATTGCTAAGCATGTATATTCTTTCAGATGTATAATAGGCTGGAGAAATCTCTTCTAGCAAAAAAGTATACTGTTCATATTATCAAGCAACTCTTATTATACTGTTCCTATTACCCACCTAACTTGACAGAGGCTACAGTTTAATAAAAAGAAAGAACATTCTTATTTTCCTTTTAAAAAAAAACTTCTCTTTGGCTTCATTACTTTCAAACTCCCCCTAAAAGTCTCTGTTTCTGGCCTACTAGAGACCTGAAGGAAAATTACATTTCTCTCATATTTGTGTCATGATGAAGTCTTTTTCATTGGACACCTTTTCATAACAGTATTTAATTCCACAAAATGTATTTTATGTTTGCTGTTTCATTGTATGGGTATGCCATAATTTATTTTTTATCATTGCTTATTGCTGATTAGGTGGTTTTTAAAATATACTATAATAAAATGATTCAATAAATGTATTTGAGCTCAATTTTGACTCATATATTTAAATTGTTAAACAAGTGATGTTGGGACAAGTGATGAGCCTCTCTGAGTTAAATTAAATTAAATTTGATCCTGGCCAAACTGTGTGCCCTAGAATATTTTAGGTTAATCCATTGAATTTTTGTTTTGTCTTGAATGGGAGAATTGTTTTAGTATCCTCAGTAGTAAGCTTATCCCAGAAGTAAGGCCCTCTAAAGGCATCAGATCATCTGTATTTGAAGATGAGCATTTAATTTGGAATGTTGGAATGTCATCTTTAAATTTTTGCTAAAATTCAATTTCTGAGCTTATGTATTTTTCTAGAAAATCAGAGAATGTGGTGAGTCAAAGAATCAGGAAAACAGGAACTTTGGCATATCAAAATATTGTTAGCTGAGTTGTATTCTCATTGATATATGCTTTATCTCCAGGAAAATGGATGTCTGTCTAATAGTGATACGTTTTCTCAAGCTGAATTGAGAAGCGAAGCAATAAATGGGAACTTAGACTTTGTATTATCATTTTGTAAGTATACAACATTAGCAGTAAACTTGATAGATTTAGTTACTATTGAGGGCATGCAGGGTGGTTCATGCAATGAAAGCAAGGAAGGTTTTATATGTTTTATTAAAGCCAGACTGATAAAACGGTTTATGAGCTGAACTTGTGGATAATTTGTAAGTAATTTTAATGTTGTAAGGACATTGAATATTTTATGTAATATGGTGTTAGACTGAAGGCTGGACTGGAGACCCTGAAGATGTGGATATTCTTTATAATTTGGCCACCGATTATGTGATTTAGAAGAAGTCTTCTAACCTCTCTGCTTCACTTTTTAGGGTAGTACTACCCAACTTGGGCGAGTTGTGAAAATCAAATGTGATATTGTTTCTGAAGTGTTTTTTAAACTAACATCTATTACAAAGACTTCTAGTCTTCATTAACAAAAACACAGCAAATGTTTACTAAACATTTTTAAATGCTAGGGTGCTTTATAATGCTTATCACATGTTAATAAAATTATCTCCATTGATAGATGACTAAAGGCGTAGAGAAGTTAAATGATTTGCCCAAGGTTAGTGATTGGAACCAGAAGTAAGATGTTCAGACTTTAACTTTGTTCTTTTCACCATACTGCACTTTATTTTATTTTATTTATTTGTGAGACACAGTCTCACTCTGTCACTTAGGCTGGAATGCAGTGGCGCAAACTCGGCTCACTGCATCCTCCGCCTCCTGGGTTCAAGCGATTCTCCTGCCTCAGCCTCCCAAGTAGCTGGGATTATAGGCACGTGCCACCATGCCCAGCTAATTTTTTGTATTTTTAGTAGAGACAGGGTTTCACCTTGTTGGGTAGGCTGGTCTCGAACTCCTGATCACAAGTGATCCACCTTCCTCAGCCTCCCAAAGTGCTGGGATTACAGGTGTGAGCCACTGTGCCTGACCTGCATTTTATTTTTAATTAATAAATAAGATGTTCTTAAGAGACCTTATTTTTTAACATGTCCATGGTGTTGCTTGACAGTTTTTCAGATCTTCTGAAAAATATGTCATTTACAAACAAAACACAGACATACATTAACTTTTAGTTCCCTAAAATGTTAACAGTTAAGCTCTCATTAATGTTATATTCAAATTGTATAGGTGGAAGCTTTATACAAACCGGGTTATTGGTATGTATTACTTGTGAATGTCACTTAAAATATTTGTTGTAATATTGTAAGGGAAAGACAAAGTGTCCAGTATGAAAAATAGTGACTGTTGTAGTTATTTGAGTCAAATACTGAGTATTATTCCTGGCTGCTATCTGAGTGTATTGATTTTGCCTTCCACTCTGTATAACACATAGATTTTCCATACTGACAAGAAAGGAATCTGGGCTCACGAGGTGGATCCACGAGAGCTGCCTTTTCCTTTTATCATATCATCCATTCCACTTCGTTGTCAACCTCTTGATTTTTCAGGCTTGTTTGTTGCTAAGGAAACTAGATGCTTTTTGTCAGCAGCCTTCCAGCTGAGATGTTTCTAGTCACCTTTTTAATGAATAAAAACTTGACAGTATTCTGTAGAATACTATTTTGAATAGTATAAAAATGAATTTTCAAGAGGTTGTTTATTAGATTTGAAAAAGAAAAATGCCAAGAAGTTTGCCAAGTATTTGAGCTTTTCCTGTCAGTGCCTTCCCCTCCAGCTTTGATTTCCAAGTCTTTGAAGAGCTGTTCGTTCTATAATTGCTGGTATGTGCTTTAGGCAGCTCTTAGGAATGCACTACTGGTTACTACCTCACAGGAAATGTCAGGTAGTAGAGAAGAGTAAATGGATTATCTTGATTACATTTTGTAGTAGTAGAGAACGTTTTCCCACTTGTGTTTGTAGGCATGGAAGATTAATTTGATCATATAAAATTCAAAGTTGCTAAGAGGCATGTGGTTGTGTTCCCTTTAAAATTCCTTGAGTGACTCAGTGCAGGTCATTTTAAAAATGACTTAGATTTTCAAATGCTGTAAAAGCACTGAGAAACTTAGGCTCCTTGTTCAAGGAGTATAGCAGCTGATATAAAACAATTCTCCTTACGTGTGTGGGTTAATTTGTTACTTTTGGGGAGATGAACACTGAAAATAGACCATGACTTTTCCCATGGGATTTTTCTTTAATGAAACCAGGTATCTTAACCTTCATTTGAACTGTATTTATTGTCTTCAGAATTTGCTTCTACTATGAATTCCTCTCTAATCCCATCCTTTTTGTACTATTCAATAGCCACATTACCGTTATAGTGAAAAGATTAACTCAATTACTTATATATAACATGGTTCCATTTTAATACAATTGCAGGGAAAAATAAATTCAGGGAATGCCTACTGTGATCTCATCCCTTGCTAGTTTGGCAAGGGTTATGTGAAAAGTCAGTGTGAGGTGTGATTCTTACACAATGGCACATCAGGCTTATAATGTCGGCATTGAAACATACAAGGTGGTAGACTGTTAAATGTCAAAATGAGTAGTAGAGCAAACAAATACTCAGAAAAGTGAAAGATCAATATAAGTCAATTACATAACAGACATGTGGCCTGTTTTATTATTACTTTAGGTGGTTACTCTTGTGTGAGTGCAGGTCCTTGATCATAGTGAAAAATGAAATGAGAAAGTATGAATGGTTCAACAGAACCCAACACCTCTCTGAGAAAAGAATTTTTCCTCTCATCTACTATCTTTAAAGAACAAAAGTCCTGTAGGGTATTATAGTCTCTCTCTTCATGGTGCCACCATGTCCAACAACATACAGCCTCAGTATGTGTACTAGGCTGACTCTGAGTCTGCTGGTATATTAGTAATTGCCATTTATAGGAAAGGATATTTATAAATTGATTAGTTGTATATATTCATGAAATTTAAAAATACATTAAAAGGGTAGCTTATATTGCAGATATATATTACTGCATTGTTTAATTTTGTATGAAAACATTTTTTATTTTTTAAATACAATTTCCAAAATGAAAACTAAAAGGTTTTCAATTTGATAATGCAGGGTTTTTTAATTTGTTTGGTCTGAGATTTAATGATGGTCATTTTCTTTTGCAGTGGAATCAAATACATTGCCTCTCTCGCTGCAGTCTATAAGAAGTAGCCTACTGCTAGGCTTTAGGAGGTAAGATGATCAACTTAAATGTTCCTTGCCTGAATATGGACTGAATTCTCCTGTCCTTTTGACTTACTGCATGTGGAAAAATACAGCTATTCTTATCTTTCAGTGTACATTCAGTTTACCTGAAATAACCTTTGCCTATTTAATTTTTCCTTTTAAGTCATTGAATTAAATTTAGGCAGCTTTGTATCATCTTTTCCAAGAAATGCACACAGGTTTGGTAAAGATCCTGTTTCCAGGAAGAAAGTCCTGTTTCAAAATGGCAAGTTGGAGTTACAGACAAATTTGCATATGTATGTTCAGCTTATTGTTTGAGCATTTAATTACAAGGTGACTTTTATTCAGTAAAGTATCATTCTCCCCTTCTGTGTGCTCAGAGAATGTTAATGACCTTGCCCTTCCAATTTTGTTATTTTGAAAATAGATAAACATAAAGAAAAACTGAAAGAATAGTGAAAGGAAATACTCCCGTACTACCCTTTTTTATCTGATTTATTTTTTTGAGACG